AGATGAAGCCCCAGACTTGGTTAAAGATTATAGTGCATTGTCGTTTTAGCAGTGCCTTATAAGTATCTGAAAAAAAGGTGATATTATTTTCTTGTCATTACCAGATTTTCCTAAGATTTCAAATGAATTCAGTGAATAGAAAATAGTGTTATCACTGATGTTACTGTGGTTGTCTGTCCTCTCACTCTGGCTGCATCCCTCCTTTAGATGATGACACGTTATATTCTAGAACCATTTATTACACCTTACACCCGAATGAGACTGAACTCAAAGGTAAGATTAACCGTTATTAATCATTCCTTATGTGTTGCATTCAGATAACATGTAATATGTGATGTGTGGTAAATATTAAATTAAATTACATAGCGCTTTTCTAGGCACCCAAAGCGCTTTACAATTCCACTATTCATTCACTCTCACATTCACACACTGGTGGAGGCAGCTACAGTTGTAGCCACAGCTGCCCTGGGGCAGACTGACAGAAGCGAGGCTGCCATATCGCGCCATCGGCCCCTCTCGCCAACACCAGTAGGCGGTAGGGTAAAGTGTCTTGCCCAAGGACACAACGACCAGGACAAAGAGAGCAGGGGGATCAAACCGGCAACCGTCCGGTTACAGATGAGCTTCCCAATCCCCTGAGCCACGGTCGCCCAAATTCTAGCAATACTAAGAACACTAATAGTCCATGACAAAATGTTAATGCTTGTTTAGTAGCTGCCCTGTGAAGTTAATATTGGTGTAAAGTTAATACTAACAACAGCATGTTTTCTATCCTTTAAACAAAATAAATATATAAATATTTTTTTGTTCTGTACTTCTTGACAGGTCTCAAAAAAAGAGCGGAATGAAGACAAAATAACATCTGAGTGAAAGTGAAGACATTTATCACGTATTATTAATAGTGCAATTGAACAAGCTGTACGTCATCTGCTGCGTTTGGTGTGAAAGTCAACAAACTGTTATGTGCCTCTTCAGCTAGAAACAGCTGTCAGACTCACATGGTTATAAGAACAGATAATGTTCACATAGTAACAAATGTATCTGGCTCTTGTGTAGAAGTTAAAATTAAACCACTTGTTTCTTGTGTTCTTTTTGCTTGTGTGTGAATGTTGTTTAAAAGAAAAGAACAACTGCAGCTCATTTCTTCTAGACAGCAGGTTGTCACCGTGGTAACCGCTAATGTAAATGTGTTGCATTGCTTTGTTTTCCAAAACAGATGAACCAAATTTGTGGTAAGCAGTGAAATACACCTGCAACGTTTACTGTCTCTATGTGAATTGTGGTCTAGTGCACAGACTAAATATCTGGTGGCTTATTTCATGTTGTAGCAGCAGCTGTTCAGTAAAGTAAAGAAAATAAGCTGGGTTTTTTTTTTGTTTGTTTTATTTGTTAGACTTTGTAAAAGCAGAAGTGAGAAGAGGATGTGATGCTGAGGTGGAGCTCAGCTTGTTTCAGCTTGACCTTAATTGTTTGTAGTATATATGATGGGCCTCAAAAGGTCACTTTCTGAGCTACTACTACTAAGAAGGATAAAAATTAGCCTTTATTTAATCTTTCTGTCTTCTTTAAAAAAACATCCACAAAGCAGGGAAGTAAATAGAGTCTTGTGACTTTATAAGTCTTCTTAAAAGATACAAAGCTTCATCATGTTTTATGGTGAACTGCAATATGGATAATTTATCAAGCATATTTAAAATATTTAAGTCATATCAGTATGCAAAGTATTACCATTACTTTTTTAAATCAATTATCTCTTGGAATTTAGACATTACAGAAATGTGTGTTGTTCATGTTACAAAAAACATCCCCTTCTAATTCCACCATGTATGTTCCAGTATGCTACAAGTTACGATACTCTATATGGTGAAGCCCTCAATGCCAGCCTGAGGCTGTACCTGAGTCAGATGAGTTAAAGACTCAACTTTCTCTGCCATTAAGAGCTGCTGGCACTGACACTGCACTAAGTAAAACCTCCACTGAAGAAATATTGAAATCAACTCAAAGTCAAACTGTGTGTAACTTTTATTTCTGCCAGTGTTGTAATGCTGGTTGATTTACTGCAGGGGGCAGATTTAACACATTCAATATTATTACATAATTTAAAAACAAATATGTTTAATATATTTTGATCAGAAAAACACATTTAAATCTGCCCGTGTCCTTTATGCATGATAAATAATCTCTGCAGACACATTGAGTGAGATCATGCCTCAGAGCACAGCGGTCACCTCATCTTATAGACACTTTTCATAGTTGTGATTGTGGTTCTGCTGCTGTTCTTCACTGATAGAAAGTCAAAGCTAGACCAACTAACTCGTGTTCACCTATGTGTTAGTGTAATTGCCATGAAGCGGATAATAGTCCATGCAATTGTGAAAAATAGAGCAATAAAACCAATTATCCCATCATACTTCTTGTAGTTAATGAATAACTTACTGATTCATTAATTTTGCTGGTAATAGTGACTGTCTCAAGAAATGAACTGGTTGATCTGTTGTTTCTACAAAAAACTTTTTTATACTCCTTTTTGTCACTTTGAACATACGTGATAAACATCAGCTCTACTCTTACTGCCGATCACACTGTGGTTTGTGAAAGTCATCATCTACCGAAACTCCTGCCTGACCTCATCTCTCAACCTGATCTAATTTTCTCCCAGCTTAAACCATGTGTCAGTCCAACCACACGCCTCACCTCTAACTTGCTGATCTCAAACGTGTGCATGTATGAGATGTGCAACCCAACCACAGCATTGTTATTTCTACACTCATAGATTATGTGGTTATTTTCTCTTTATTGAAATGTGTATTTCTCCTATCACTTGTTGGGTTTAAGGTCGCTTTGCGTTTTATGTAGTTGAAATAAATATATTTGAAATAATAAAGAAAAACTTTATTTGTGATAAGAAAAAAACTGAATGAAATGACTGCTGGGTAATGAATCGCAGGGATCAGAGTTTTACAGTTGTTAACCGACGTTACTGCAAAGTATCACAGGTTGGGTCTCTGACCTAGTGCTCTGAGTACATTTGGTATCTGTCTCAATTGTGATTAGTTCATGTGTCATTCCTATTTAGCTTTTAGTTGAGGTTAAAGGCAGTCATTATTTATTGTGTCCTTGGTTTCTGTGTTTGGGTTCTTGTATTGTTCATCACGTGTTAGGTCTGTTAAGATCTGTTTCATGTCTAGTTTCAGTGTTTCCTGTTTTATTTCTAAGGCCCCGGGGCAGACCCAGGACACGCTGGAGAGATTATATCTCTCGGCTGGCCTGGGAACGCCTTGGTATTCCCCCGGATAAGCTGGAGGAGGTGGCTGGGGAGAGGGAGGTCTGGGCCTCTTTGCTTAGGCTGCTGCCCCCGCGACCCGGCCCCGGATAAAGCGGATGAAGATGGATGGATGGATGGATTTCTAAGGAGTTGTGTGTTCTTTGTTCACTGTATTTAGTTTCACTTCCCTGTCATTAGACTCATGTCAGTCAGCTGTTACCCCATGTGTTCCCATTCCCCTAATCACCTTCTGTGTGTTTAAGTCCTGTGTTTCCAGGCCAAGGGTTCATGTCACATTTCTCATGTCAGGTCCATGTTCCTGTTTTAGGTTTTTATTTAATTTAACTCACCCGGTTTAGTTTATTGTTAGTCTTGCCTTTTGCCTTTTGTTTGCAGTTATTTTTCCAGCCTCAATAAATGACTCATTTTTGGTTATTCAAGTCAAGTTTTGTTTCATCTGCATTTGGGTCCACCTTTCACGCTACACTACACTTTGTGACACAGAGGCTGATTTACTGGTTTTCAGGTCTAGTAATATGGAGTTTTGATCCTGCCTCAGACTGAGTATTTTTGTGTAGTCTGTGTCATGTTTGTCGTGTTTAGCATGAGTTTTATCCATCATGTCTCTGTGTTTGGAGATTACTTACACCTCCATTCAGTTTCTCAGTGTACATAGCCCAGTATTCCCCTTTATTTTTGCAGAAGCATCTCTGTAGCTGTGTTGTGGTAACTTTTCTCTGATGTGCTTCCCCAATTTTGTCTTTCTGTTTTTTACCTGGTTGTGTGGTTGTTTTTGGAGTATTGCTTCTGCTTCAATAATATATCGATCATATTTAAATGCCTTGCCTTGCTTTGGTTCATGTGTTTTGAAACTACTAAGACATTTTAAAATAGGACTCCTGATTGTTGACAAGTATCACTAAAGACTATAAAGTATATCTAAAGTGGTTACAACACTGTCAGGCCGACTGTAACATCACTGGTCTGGTTCAAATCATCTAGCTGGCCAATCGGTCTTTACTTGGCACTTTTTTTACTCCTTCACACCTAAGACTTTCTCTTGCAGACACCTTTGTGTAACCCACCTCCTCCCCATCATCACCCCTCCTATGTCACTCGGGCTCCACCACCACCACAACCACCAGGGGTTTCCTAATCCCTATCACTGATAGGAATCCATTATGCTGTGATGGGCCATTGGAGTCAAACCACCAGTCTGAATTCTGTACATGAATATCACTTTATCTTCAGCAGTGTTAACTCTCCTATTTCTCTAAAGTGCTTTTACACATTTGTTGAACGGCTAACATTTTTCAGACACTGAAAAATGCTCCACCCACAGATAGGAAACTGAAACACTGAAGCTTAAACTGACACGAGATCAAATGGACCAATACGGCAATGCCACGATGATCCATTTGGCAAAGTAAATCCATTGGGTATCCTTGTTGGTCTTCAGACAACAATTCTGATGGCTAAAGAACCAAATGGGACAGGCAGAAGAGAAAAAAATTAAAAAAATAAATAAATAAATAAACTGACACAAGATCAACTTGGTTACTGTGGAAACTACTTTAGTAAAGTTAAATGATTACATTAATTAGCATTGAGTTGTAACAGAAATAATAGAAAGTAGTAGTGGTAGTAAAACTGCTTTAGGCACAGGAAGACAAACAAGAAGACGCCCCTGCTCTCAGTTTTCACACTTAGTATTCAGTCTGCAGCACGACATCATGGTGTTCAGAGCTACCTGCATCAAGCTGTGTGAGTACGGTCTTACATCTGCAATAAAACTAAGCAATATAAAGTTTAAAGGTACTGATGCTTTTAAAATGTCAGTAATTATTAAGATCATAATAAAGTATTTATTTTAATAGCTCTTTAATTCTCTTCAGTGATAACTGTCAAGATCCTGCTGTGTGCACATGATGACAACGTTGGTGAGTCCCAGCTACCTGCTCACTGATATCAGTATTTATTTATTTTTTTGCAATTGTTTGATGGAAAAGTAGATAATTTAGAAATTAAATGTAGGACATGTGTTCATCCCTCATGTATATTTGATACATATTTGCCGTTATTTTTATCTGTTGTTATTTTGTTCTGTATAGTTTGACAACATTTTTATTAAACAATAAAACTGAACTGAATTTCTCCTTTTCCTTATGTCAGGTGCAGTTTTTCTTCGTGTTGTTCCAAACAGATCACAGTTCTTTGAATATGAGTCAGTAACTTTTTACTGTAAGGGCGTCTCTAATTATAATATTGTACATAAGTTGAGAGGGAAAATGAAATCATGCAGCTACACTAATGAGAAAACAGCAGCAGCATCGTCCTGCTCTATAAAAAATGTTTATACAGAAGAAGGTGGAGAGTTCATATGTGAGACTGGAGGAGGGGAGAAAAGCAACATTATCAACATCACTGTTACTGGTAAGTTTCCATTTAGTAAGCATTACGTTGCCATAATCAAACACATCATTGAATAGATTTATACATGTTGGTTTTCAGCTGGTCCTGTGATCCTGGAGAGTCCTGCTGTTCCTGTGATGGAGGGAGAAGCTGTGACTCTGAGCTGCAGGAACAAGACAACTTCCTCCAACTTCACAGCTGATTTCTACAAAGATGGAATTCTCATCAGGAAGAGCTCTACAGGATACATGACCATCGGCAGAGTTTTAAATTTTCATGAAGGATTTTACAAATGCAGCATTTCAGGAGCTGGAGAGTCACCAGTGAGCTGGCTGAATGTCACAGGTCAGAACACATGAGAATCAACAACGTTTTAAAATAAATCCCATAGATACATTTGATTGCTGTCATTCAAATCTGTAGCTTTCTGAAATACTGTGGAATTTCCAGTGTGCAGTATCACTTTAAGGAAATGGAACAGGTGTACTAAACTTTCACATACCCTCTGACTGATTTTCATCTTCCTGTTTGACCTTTTTTTTTGCTTTTTTTCCATTTTTTTCAAAAGATAAATTAAACGACTTTATTCATATTTACAAATATATTTACAGGTAGTTCCAAAAAGGAAAGCCATCCTGCCACACCTTGGATTATTGTCACTGTTTTATTGGGTGTTGTGTTGGTGGTGGGGGCACTGCGTCACTTTGGGAAAGATTACTGGGACAGAGGTAAAGAAAATAACAAACATTACATTTCATGTAGAATTTTGTGCTCATTCTTTTGCTGTTTTCAAATTCTCAAAAGGCATACAGTACTTTGGAAAAGTCCAGATCAATGGCAAATGGAAAGTACTTGAAAGTCATGTCCTGAAGAATCATGATCAGATCCAACAAAGACCTGAACGATTAATCTGTCTCTTCAGTTAGTCTTCAGAACTATTTCTGAAGACTACTTAAACAAATTACAAAGAAGCTTTCCTAAGAAACTTTAGACTATGTTCAAGAATAAAGGTGCTTATACTAAATGTCGACTTTTAAACACACTCTTTTTTTGTCTTTTACGCAACATTTCCATGTATGTTTTTACACATTTAAGTAAATTGCCTCAACTGTTTCCAAATTCTTTTAACAAAATACAAAGAAATAGCAGTGGCTCATAACTTTTTCATAGCACTGTTGTTCTCTAAAGTTTTAAAAATACCTTTTTTTTTTCCATGTTGTTCACTGGTGACGTTGTTTTTCTTCCTTGTACTATAGCACTGCTCTATCTGTCAACTAAGGTGCGTACTTCAGATTCAACAGAGCGTCAAACAGGTCAGAACACAAACACTGTTTAATTACCCATGTGTATGGCATCCTACAAAAGACTTAACTATGCAAACATAATTTAACTTGGAACCTATAAAGTACTTTAAAACCAAGCATTAACAGTCACCACACAGGAAAGACAAGAACTATGTATTAGAATGTGCTTTTAATTGTTATTGTATTAATAAATAAAAACTTGTGTCCTCTTGACCAACATGAAATAAATACTTGGTTAAAGTAATATACATTAAAAGATTTTTAATTGTGAAAAACAGAAGCTAAACGTCCTGACATAAAAAAAACTATGTTTAGACTATTTTGTCGCAAGACTGTTGTGATGTTTTATGTTGTTTTTTTTTAATCACAGAGGCCAGTGCACCTAATGCAAGCAGAGCAACATACGCTACTGTAAATAAAAACAGGAAAAAAACAGGTAATGTCATGTAAATTATAGTTATCTCCTGTTAAAAAATAACTTATTAAGTTTACACTAACAGAATTTAAGTTGATATAAGGTTTGTCGCAAATTTGATGTATGAAATCAAACAAGACTTATTTGTCTGGTATTGCCTTACTCTTTCTTGTGATGTGTATCTGTTATTGCTAAATGTGTAGGCGGTGGTGAGTACATGAGTTTCCTGGACTTGTTCTTCAAATAAAAACCACAGTGCTAATACGGTTCAAGCATGTATTTTAGACGCCCATCTAGAGTGAGAGGTGTGAATTTGCTTTGTACAGCTCAAAACTAAAAGTTTTGTATTGAAATTTTGTATTAAGTTTATATAATAAACTATAAATTAAACAAAACAAGAATAGGAACATGATATAATCAATATTCAATCATCTTACTCATTTGGAAATGACAAAAACAATGCATGTAGCATAAAAATGTATAAGACTGCAGGTATTGACTTATATGTATATTAGGCATTTCGAAAATGTCAAATTTGACTTCATTGTTTTCAACATATTGATATCCTCACTTTACTCTCACTCTGTGTCTCCTTTAGATGAAGATGGATTGTCTTCTGGACCCTGTTACTACCTCGTAGAACAGGAGTACGCTGAAGTAAATGAAGGTGAGAATTGTTATGACTTGTTAAAAGCCATTTGTATACATTATCAATTAACTTATAATAATGTAAGGCAATATAAGTGTTTTATTGAGTAGAAATTGTTGCTATCGACTGATTTAATTCTGTTGTCAAAACAGAACCAGAAAAGTCCACTGCAAGAAGAACTTCGTCACATGTCTATCAACTTGTGGCAGATGACACTTTTTATTCTGTATTACAAGAGGTAAAACTGAGGCAGTGGTGTTATATTGCAGATAATATGTGATGGATACTAAAGAGTGGACAGTTAATAGAGATTTCAATACAATATCCTTTTCAAAAAGTACTTTTAATGTTGGCAACTTATTTTAATGAAGTTATTTTACTGAAAGTACAGGCTTGGGAATGTATTTAAAAATAAAGTAAAAAGTAGCTCCTCATTAGGACATTTAAAAAAAAAAAACACAAAAACAAAAACAGTTTGTGTATTTGCTGGGCTGATAGAAACGCTGCATTTGAAACTGCCTGCAACTTAAAGATGGTAGTTCCTCTTCTGTAGGGCTGGTTAGATGCTGAAGCACCACAACTGCGTATATGTTGTAACCAATTCCATCTCTTTGTGTGCAGTAGGCCATGGTTATGGATACACCAGTAAGATTGTACTTTGCAAAAAGAAATTGCCTGGAACAGGAAAAACTGAGAAACTGCTGCAAATCCAGTCCACCACCCATGATCCTGCTGCTCATCAGAAGGACCAGAAGCAAATAGGCGGCAGTTCAGAGAAGGCCAGCCTGTTTCACTACTGATCATCTTAGAGTGGTGATAAGCCATTATCCTGATCATCTGATTGTTATGATGTCTGTGTTATATTGTAGATGCCCTGTAAAGTGGCCTAACCCTACATGGGCTAAGGTTATGCAAGGCCTAATGTATTTATTTTATATTTTGTGAAATGATAACTAAAACAACTCTGGTCTTTCAGGAAACATTTGTATTTTCTGTCTGGCTCAAATGGCAATGAAGTTACAAGCATTTAAAGAGTTTTTGTAAAATGGGTCCACCTCTGGACCCATTACTCATTTCACTTTTTTAGTGAGTCCAAATCCATTTGGCCGTATCAAATGACATAAGAGGTCTCACTACACACACAATGGCTTGCAATTATCTATTTGTAAAAAATGTTCGGAATCATGTATGATTTTCGTTCCACTTCTCACGTGTGCACCACTTTGTGTCGGTCTTTCACGTGGAATTGCAATAAAATTGATTCATGTTTGCGTTAAACAGCACACTCACGTGTTACTTGTTTTCACGAGTGAAAAAGTAACACAGGTTAATTTAGATAGGTATAGTGTGCATGTCTATAAATTGTTGTCTTGCGTATGTTCAATTAGATCAGTGGTTCCCAAACGTTTTTTGCTAGGCCCCCTGTGCGCACAAACATATCCTCCAGCCACATTGTGGTTTATTTCACACCTCAAACATTTAGTAAACAATTAACCCTTGTGTGGTGTTCATATTTTTGTTACTCAGCCAGTGTTCATGGGTCTGGTGGACCCGCTAGAGTTTTGGCTTTCCAAATTAACACTATCAAACAATTTTATGTTAAATTACTCAACAGATGTTTACTTCATCCCATTACAAACATGAACAGCAAACATGGTTAATTTTTTCCCTTTACCTTTGTTAGATCACATTTATGAATTAATGTGCTTCTCTTTTTTTGTTTTATAAAATGTTATAAAAAAATAAATCAGTTATAATCAAGTGGAGTGAGTGGAAAGACACAACACATTTACACGTGAAACAATATGTTTCACAACTAAATGGGATCAGCTGCTCATCAATGGTGACATTAGGCCCAGGGATGTAAAACAGGGAGGTGGTGCACACACTTATCCCACACTGTCCTGATGGCAGCTAGCTTGTCTCTCTGCCGTCGAGCTGGTCTGTCGTCTCGGTTATCAAAACGGATAATCCTGGAAATTTTGTGGAAGTTTTCCAGAGACATCGATGCACGGAAAGGTTCGTGCCGGTTTCTGCATCCCACAGGGATTCTGTGGATTCCCCTTTGGACCTGAAAACTCCTGCAAGGATAAAAACCCCAAAGTAGGCCTTTGGGGTTCTTAGATGAATTTGGTTCATCTCCTTCCACCTCTCTCCAAAAACACACCTTCCTTCTAGATTACTGCAATCCAGAATAATTTTCTGGATGGAATCTGGGATGAAAAGCTCCAATGAAGATTTGATGTCCTGCACATGAGTAACTGTCAGCTGTGTTGGCCCTGGCTTATCACAGTAACAGCTCTGCAGGGTGGCTCATTTCTTGGGCAAGAAGACCATTCAGTTTCACCAGTTATTGACATCCATATTTCTTCACTTGCTGTCTGGTGGGCTTGTTCTGGTCCTGGAGCTGGCTGCAGATGGGGTGCTCGTCTTTGTTTTGTTACTAAATGGTGCTCAACCTCATCCTCTTCTTCAAAGTCACTGTCAGACTCTGAATTTTCAGAAATGTGAAATATTCTGAAACCTCTTTCTCAACATCATCATCCGAAGCCCCTCTCTCTTCCAAAATGAATTGGATGGCCCTCGCAGCAGATTATCTTTTGCCATCTTGATCAGTTGTGATAAAGAACCACACTGGCAAAGTCTTATTTATAGTATTATGCCCCTAATTTGCAGGAGGGACAGGGTATGAGAAAATAAAATTTGGATCCCTCAAGAAAGAGGGTAAAATGTGTGGGAATGTAAGAGCAGACGGTGTTGATAGTTGAATTTTCAACAATGCTGCAACTTTGTGCGGGAGCAGGAGGGGAAGAAAACACTATCAGCAGCACCAGAAAGGAGGAAGACAGAGTGTGGGAACACAGGACCGACACTTTCAACACTTTTATTAGACCTGGGTCCAGTGGACCCGAACACCTTGTATGTAATGTAAATGCGTGGGGGGAGGTACAGTATGAGGTCATTGAAAATTAGTTCAGATTTATGTTCTTCACAGAAAATAAGCCAAAGCCAATGAATTTCAGGTTGAAAAAATAATTAATTGTTTAATTTTTCTTTCGAGAAAAACTGAAAACGGGTCTCACAGACCCGAACACCATACAAGGGTTAAGCAAATACAAGTAATCTGCAATAAATTAAAGGTAGTAATAAAATAAACTACTAACTCTTTTATGCTACGTCCACACTTACAAGTTTATTTTTGAAAACGCAGCTGTTTCTATGCGTTTGGGCCTTTCGTCCACATGTAAATGTCGCGCCAAACCACCGAAAACTCAGGTTTTTTTAAGAATATGTGTGGACAAGGAATACAGAGTGGATCATGCAACGTCAAAGGTATGTGCCTTTTTTCACCTCATTCTTCTCATTTTTAAAAACACCGCAAAGGTCTAATGTAGCCTACTATACTTTATTTAGGATTTGATTAAATATTAAGTGATTTTGTTTAAACATAATCGCTCATCTGATCACTGAGTGTCTGTACTATTTAGACTTAGTTCCTTCCTATTTTTTTGAAAATATATATATATATATATATATATATATATATATATATATATATATTCGTTTTACTACGCAGAAATCAAGAATGAAAGACAAAGTTGTTTTAGTTTTGCTTCATGGTGTCATCCTTCTTCTAACATGGCATTATGGAAGTAAGTTGTACAGTAAAATTGAACAATGAATGCAATGGAAATGTGGTGAGAGTTTTTGTGTATATGTTTTGGGAGTGTTGGAAGACAACTGGAAGAAAGCTATAAAGAAAACACCATCTGAGAAATTGTAGTCGAAGAAAAATTAAATCAAATCAAATCAAATCACTTTTATTGTCACATCACATGTGCAGGTACATTGGTACAGCACATGTGAGTGAAATTCTTGTGTGCGAGCTTCACAAGCAACAGAGTTGTGCAAAATACAATAATGTAAACAAGCAAAATACAAGAATGGCTACATCTGAAACTAATAAATATATGTACAATATATAATAGTATATGCATTTCTGGATGTGTATACTAAATATTTTTCTACGTGTGTGTGTGTGTGTGTGTGTATACATATATTTTACAAATTAAATAGAGTAAACAATAAGTAGAATATTTAAAATAAATAAAATAAAATATACAGAGTGAGACATGTGCAAAACAGTGGCGTTACTGTACGGTATGTAGTGCATAATGTTAAAGTTCCAGTAGTGAAGCTGAGGTGTCTATGAAGTGTTCAGCAGTCTGATGGCCTGATGGAAAAAGCTGTCTCTCAGTCTGCTGGTACGGGACCGGATGCTGCAGAACCTCCTTCCTGATGGAAGCAGTCTGAACAGTTTATGGCTGGGGTGACTGGAGTCCTTGATGATCCTCCCCGCTTTCCTCAGGCACCGCTTCCTGTAGATGTCTTGGAGGGAGGGAAGCTCACCTCCAATTATCTGTTCAGAGCACCGCACTACTCGCTGAAGAGCTTTGCAGTTGTAGGCGGTGCTGTTGCCATACCAGGTGGTGATGCATCCAGTGAGGATGCTCTCAATGGCACAGTGATAGAAGGTCCTGAGGATGCGGGGGCTCATGCCAAATCTTATCAGTCTCCTGAGAAAGAAGAGGTGCTGCTGCGCCTTCTTCACTGTTTTGTTTGTGTGTACTGACCACGTAAGATCCTCAGCCAGATGTACACCAAGGAACCGGAAGCTGCTCACTCTCTCCACAGCAGCGCCGTTGATGGTGATGGGGGTGTGTACTTCTCTGCACCTCCGGAAGTCCACTATCAACTCCTTTGTCTTTGCGATGTTGAGGGTGAGATGGTTGTCTTGACACCAGTGGGTCAGGGCGCTGACCTCCTCCCTGTAAGCCGTCTCATCACCGTTGGTGATAAGACCCACCACTGTAGTGTCATCCGCAAACTTCACAATGATGTTGGAGTTGTTAGTGGCTGTGCAGTCGTAGGTGTAGAGTGAGTACAGGAGAGGGCTCAGTACACACCCCAATTACCCCAATTACCCAAATGAAGTGTAATTATATTATTGTTTTATTATACTTTATCCACAGGTCGGTCTCAGATGATTGGTCCAACTCAACCATTGGTTGCAATGACAGGGGATGACATCATTTTACCATGCCAGCTAGAACCAGCTAGGGATGCTGTTGACTTGACTGTGGAATGGTCTAGACGTGACCTTAAACCAAGATTTGTCCATTTAAAGCGGGACGATGCGGAGCTCGTGACTCAGAATACTTTATACTCCAGAAGAACATCACTGTCTGTCAACAAACTGAAATGCGGTGACATTTCATTGAAACTCTCCAAAGTACAAGTCTCTGATGCAGGAACATACAGCTGCCTTGTTCCTGAAATTGGTGCAAAATCTGGCATGGAGCTTGTTATTGGTAAGTTGACATTAACCCCATTTGCTCTTAAAAGAAAGAAATAAAAAAACAAAACAAAACGAAACGAAAGAAAGAAAGAAAGAAGAAGAAAGAAAGAAAGAAGAAAGAAAGAAAGAAGAAAGAAAGAAAGAAAGAAAGAAAGAAAGAAAGAAAGAAAGAAAGAAAGCATCAAGGATGAGCTTATTGACAAATAACAGAAGGGTTCTTGTGACAAGAGGGCTATTCTACTGGGAAGTGGATCATCTACAGGGCTATTTAGAGTTAGAGACATTTCATAGGTCACTTGGCTTGACTAGATGGACATTTAAACATGTAACAGGATTAAATAGGAAAACCACAGTGGAACTTTAAAAAAACATGTTAGTGTTTGTTTAAAAATTAGATCACCTTACCATTTCAACTAAAAGCTTGAATATTTGGTGTGACCACAGGGTACAGGGGCTGATCTAGAATAAATTTGGGCTGATATTAACCATTAAAATAATTGAAAAATGTTTTAATTCTGAACTTTGCATTCCAAGTAACTTTTTCCCAAATTTTCTTTGTAGGTTCTGTTTCTTCTGTAGTCATGGAGATATTCAAAGTCAAAATGAAATCTTCTTTAAATGCAAATCTAACGGCTGGTATCCAGAGCCTCGGGTGTTTT